ATGGGAAATACTGGAGGCAACACATCTAATTAAATTGGCTGACATAAGTAAGTGTTTATAATTCTGTCCAGTGGAGCGAGCTGCAAAGGGGGTAACAACCTGGCCTGGGGTTACAGAGTGACCACTCAGCTTCCTGTGTGCCAGAATCCAGTTTGCAACTGCGAATTCTCTTCAAAAGGAAGAATTAAACATTTTTATTTTTACATTTAGTAATAAATATTTCCAAATATAGTAATAAAATAAAGTAGCAATAAATCAGCAATACAGCTCCATATTAAAGCATTTACATGCCTCTACATCTAGACCAATAGCAGTTTACCTTGAGAAAATAAGTAGCAGATGCTAATTAAACTGAACTGATATGAAGCCCTATAAAGCAGGAAACTGAATAGTCATTTAAAATAAAACTCTCATGGTTTAGACAATTCTACTTCTACATTCTAGACCTCAGATTTACTTGCCATGACAGTCAATAGTCACCTTCCACTGTTCAGATGACCCACAGACATTCCCTGCAGAGCATATACACAAGGTAAGGTGAAAGAACTGGCTGTTCAAAGGAATTTTCCAGGGACAACAGATTTTTCTCTGGCTTCTCATCTGTTAAACTTACTCCTGTTCTCCAGAGCTCTAAAGGAGAACAACGACAGCAGATGAGCTTTTATTCTTCTGGTTGATATCTGAACTAATGGCCTAAGACATTCACCAGAATTATAGAGCAGTAAGTGGCTCACCTCCAAACACTGGAATTAATCCTAGGATCCTGACAGCTCCTCATTACGAGGTCCAGTGGCCTCCAAAAAGATGACTGAGGCCGTGAGCCAGGAAGCACTGAGTCATGAAGCACATCATCACGGGTGTAACCCCTCACATGCCCCCTGCACCAGCAGCCACCTGGCCAGCAGCAGCTCTCTCAGCAGCTGGCACCACACAGACACCACACAGGATACCTACTGCAATCAGTGAAGCTTCACAAACTTCTGTCAGCATCAGGCGTTTCTGCAGCAAGATCTTGAAGATGAGATGGTAACAAATGACACACGTCTGGCTTTGCTGTCTGTTCTCCAAAGGGGACACTGGGCTTCTCACTGAGGAGTGGCAAACTCAGGGCTAACAGATTTTCACAGGGTTGCCACACACTACTTGAATCTTGGATGTGACTGTACTGTCATCTTCTGAAGGACCTTCACTTGCAAGGCTGCCCAAAACCATCCAGTGAAACCATCTCACTCATACAGACTAGCGTCATCTCTTAGTGGCTGCTTAAACCTGAAACCAAAAATCAGACACATGCACGACAGGCAAGCTCCCTCAGCAGCCACGCCAGGTAGGGGAGATTGAACATGGAGTACCAGAGCACGGGAACAAGGCTGGGGAACGTGAGCCTTGTGCTCAATGAAATAAGAAACTGGATCTCATGTTTCTCCAGCTGCAGCTCCAAACTCAGCAACTTCCAAAAGTTCAGTTGCACCCTCTAGGAGGACAAAGTGCTAGCACCTGAGGCAGGACTGCCTCCCTGTCAGTTCTCCCAACAGTGCTCATGGGCATTTTTCACAAGGGTTTGTCTCATCTGCTGCACCTACCCCAGCTACCACCAACTTACTGCTGCATGGAAAGGGAAACACGAAACCAAGTAAGCCTGCATGGCATTTTAAAAAGAAAAGCAAGACTCTGAGGCTGATGTAAAAACCTATTGCAAGGGAACACCACAGGAGAGAGAGCTTGACTCTAGCCCTAGAACAAGCATGCTGCAAATTACCAGCCACGCCATCACAGCAAAAGCAGCGTTGTCATCTACATCTTGCCAGTAATCGACTACAATCTTTGGGGACCGCAATATATCTGAGATGGATGTGCAGCTTTTACCCACATTTTCCATTTCTATTACCATCACCTTGCTGTTCTCCTGGTTATTATCCTCCTCACCTACGGCATGAGCAAGAACCATACAATCACTAAACGTCATCAGGCAGTTTGTAAACACTGCGCCAGTTCGGAGCAGTTCTGACAGTTAAGGTGTAACTACAGAGTAAACATGAACTGTACTCTTTCAGAGGCAGAAAGAAAGATCTCAAGAGACGATAAAGCATCTGGGAAAGGAAGAGTGGAGAAAGACAAACAAATCTCTACAGAGAACTTTGAATAGATGATTATTTTTTTCCCTTTGCTCCCTTTCATTCAGGCTATCAATTTCAGGAGCCAAAGTCCATCAGTAGATTGGAGATAAGCAGAGCTACACTTTTTAAACATATTTAGCATTTCTTTGGCCACTCACAGAACACCAGAGAAATCCTCAGAAAGTAAGTCAGTGGTTTTAAGTACACAGCTGGAGGACTTTATACAGAGCATCAGGAAAAGTTATCTTTTAAGCAGTTTCAGAAATAAATTTCTTGTGATACAAGCTAATAATAGAAAGGAGTACAGAAAAGAAAGTAGTATTAGCTAGAGACAGGATAATTAGAAGAAGTTACTGTCTTGTCTTCAGTAACAATAAAACCAGACAGTTTCTCCACTAAAAGCCCATGGGTTCAATATCCAGTCCAAACCAGGGCATAAATCCAGTTAGCATGTTGGACTAGCACCATTCTGTATCATCCACAAATACCAGAGTTTTCATTTGAGGTATTAAAAAGTGTTTCTAAATGATCTGGTAACCAAGGAACATCAAGAACATGGGCTAGGCAACTAATTCAATATTTAAGTAATTCAACTAATTCAATAATTAATATGCAGCCGTGGCTGTCACATCTAAGCATTTCATTCCTTGTCTCATCATCTCGTGGCAACTCCTGGGGGCAGACAGGACTGACTTCCAAAGATTCAGGAACACAGCCACTGTAATCAGGCCTTGCTGGTCTTTTTTTTTTTCTTTTTAACAGGTTATACATAAAGAAGACACTCATGAATTGTGAGCAGCCCTCCTGGCAACAAATGTACGCAGGTAATTAAAGGCTTCCTTCTCCCAGGTGAAGAGCTGTCCTGTCTCTTTACCCTCCTGAGGGATTCTCTTTTCTCTCCATGCAGTACAACATCCATCCCTACCAGGTGTGTCCATCCCCTCCCAAACCACCACCAGCTGCAAGCCCTCAACTCCCTTTCCCCAGAGTCTCTCCAGCTGGGACACCCTGGCACACAGTCCAGCCCATGTCAGGTGCAGGGGCCTGAGACAAGAAAGGGGGAATGCCCTGGAGAGATGGAGCTGTGGCAACCCCAGCATCCATTCAGCCATTCACATCTTCTTCACTGCATGCAATATACTCTGCTCACAGATATAACCCACTGATTGTGCAAGAACTTACACAGGAGAACCTGAAAACCTTTAACTACTGCACTGTGGCAGCAAGGACAAAGCAGTGTGAGAGTTACTACCTGACAGAAACCACTTGTCCTGATGACACAGACTTTGAAGTTTCAGGAAGGGATGGATGAGCACAGAGCCGCTCCATCAGGTAGAGATGCAGTTGCAGCACTTAAGCACCTTTCTGCAAACAGCTGCAGCTAACAGCAAGAAAATACTACTGTCTATAGAGAATTTATGGCCAAGGAATTTGCTATGTGTATGAAACTCCTAAACCTACTTATTTGCAGATACGTCAGGACAACCCCAGTTCATTTAGGAACAGAGCAGTGGGCCTGGGAGTTGGAATAAGCGAGGTCCAAATTCACTTTTTTCATCTCCTGGCCAAGACCCTCCTTGTAAAAATGGATTTTCCAGTTTCACAACAAGGAGCAGAGAGAGTCTGTCTTTATAATTCTAGCACCTCATTGAAAGAAACACTATTCAAACCATTACTCCCATCCCCATTTTGGGGGCTTTGAACCCAACTTTCACATGTTTCAGCAGTCAGTGTCCTAATTCTGTGGAAACAAACCCTTCTACTTCTAACTCCAAGTTTCATGTAGTCTCACTCAGGACACATTCACCCTTCATATACAGGTAGTTATGCCTTACTTTGCGAAACCCAAAACAATTGCTCAAGGTGAACAGCTGCATTCATGAAGCATTAACTTGGACAGTATTTTAGTAACAACACTGCTACATTAACTACGTCACTGTTCAAAAGAAAGCAGCAACAACAAAACTTTTAGTGAATTATCCGCATATTCTACCCAAAATAGATCTTACTGTAGTTCAGAAAGAACAGACTGAAGAACTACATGTTCTAATTGAGAGAGAGTCAAGCAGAAGCTGATGAAGAGTTTTAGATACTTGAAATGGGAATGCAGGCAGTGGATGTGTAACAGGGAAGGAGTGGTAGAGTTGCAGCATTCACGGCTGGTCCGTGTTTATTTTGCAGGTAGAGTTTGGAAGCCCATTATCACATCTGCTTTCCAAAAGGCACCACAAAGTGATCTACTAATGAATTCAAGTCATTACAGTAAGAGAAAAAAGCAGGTCGTCCGACCTGTACACATGGGTTGCATCATGCCCTTCCCTGCTCCCTCCTGATACACAAGGGAATTACAGACCGTGCCGGGAAACGCCGCGACTTGCAGGGCCAGCGGGAAGCACAGGGAGCTCAGCCTGTCTTCACGGGCACGGCGGCTGCGATGAGCAGGGATGAGCGCTCAGCGCCCAGGCCCGGGCGGCAGCGGGGCCGGCTGCGGGCACCCGGTGCGGGGACAGCGCAGCACCGCGGCAGGTGCGCCCCGGACGGAGAGAGACCCGCGGGCAACAGAACCACTCCTTCCCAGCCGCTACCCGCGGATACCTGCATCCCCTCTGCAGGCAGGTCCTGCTCGCACCGACCGCCTCTCATTTCGGTGGTGCCAGCGATGGGGATGAGCGGAGAGCCCAAAGCCGCCTCCCCGGCGGGGCCGGGATGCAGCCGGGCTGCGGCACCGCACAGCGCTCAGCGGAGCCCGCTCGCAGCCCGGCCCCTCCATCCCTCTTCTCCATTCCCAGTCCGGGCAGGCGGCGGGATGCGGGGAGACCCTCCCGGGGTGCCCCTGCACCCACAGCTGTGCTGAGTCACGGCCGGGCCACCCCCTGCACTCACCTGCGGGCCGCGGCCGCTCCGCACCCCGCCGGGGGGTGCTCGGCAGCGCAGCGCGGCCGCCCCATTGCAGGCGCCGCGGTCCCGGGACCCGTCCGCGGGGTCGTTGCTGCTGCCGCCGCCCTCCTCGCCGGCGGGGAAGAGCCCGCAGGAGCGCTGGAAGCGCGCCACGGGCTGGGAGCTGCGCAGGGTGCCCAGCAGGCGGGCCATGCTGCCGGCAGGCTCCGCGCAGCGCGGCCCCAGCGCGGCCCGGGGCCGCGGGCAGGTGCGCCCGCCCCGCCCCGCACAGGTGAGCCCGCCCCGCCCCGCCCGCTTCACAGGTGCGGGGCCCCGCCCGGGAGCGCCCCTTGCCGGCCGGGCCGTGCCCTCCCTGCCCACCTGGTGGGGGCAGGAAATTCAGCGCCTTCCTCTTCTTTGGATATTTTCCCTGCCGTGATGGTCCTGGTAAAAAAAAAAACAAAACCACAAAAAAACCAAACACACACACACAAAAACACAACAACAACAACAAAACAAACAAAACCCAACAAAAAACAAACAAAAAACCAAAACAAAAACCCACAAACAAACAAAAAAAAACCACACACACACACACACAAAAAAAAACCAACAAAAAAACCAACCAAACCACCAAAACCCCAAAGAACGTAATCTACCTCGAGATAAGAACGCCTGCTTTCTTAGCCTAAAGATAGAACGCCCTGAATCACATCGAGAACTTCGGGAAATGTGGATGCTGGGCCACGTGAGCTCATTTCCTGTCAATTCACCCCCTCGGGTATAAAATGTACCCTCGCCTGTCCCTGGCTTCATTTTGTCCTGTATTGGAGTCAGCTTTTATTTCTTCTCCCAAATATTTGCACGTCTATATTGTATACATCACATGTACACATACACACCTATAAGGATACATCTCCAAGTATTTCCTCCCTTAAATAAAGCTGTGGAGTTTCCCAGGCAAAGAGAGGACTTATCACTTGCAAGATGCTTCTCAAACTCTGGGGCTGCAAACCTTGCCACAGGTGATACTTGCTAATTCCTGCTGTTGAAACATTAAGAACCTTAGTTCTGTCAGTGCATTTTTTTTTTTTCAGAACAGCCCATTTCTATTCTCATAAATTATTTTGTACAAGGATTGCACAAGCATCATTTACTCAATGTAGACTCATTTCAAGTTTGTTGCCTTTTTTTTTTGCTCTCAAATACACCTAATTATCCAAGATTGCATCAAGGCTTTTCTTTCCAGAGCCCTTGGAAACCAAAGGGATGCTCTTTTACTTTATAGCAAGTCAGTTTGCCCCTGTGCCACTGTCTGGGCTGCCTGTGGGAGATGCTCACCCAGGCCCTGTGAGTGCCTGTGCTCTCGAGATGGCAGAGTCATCTCACCACCCAGCCTGGGATGGGGCCAGGCCAGCCCACGGCCAGCCCATGTGGCCTCAGTGAGGAATCCCAGGGACAGCTCTCCATCACCACCATCCAGACTCCAGGGCAGACTCCATAGATCTCATCTAATTGTTTGTGTGATTCATTTTCTTTTATCTCCTCACAATGCAATCCTCTATCATTAGGGGTTTGCCCAACTGCAGCTCCAGGTGCCATCACGTTTCAAGTGCTTTCCTCATTGCTGTGCGTGCAGACACTCCTCCCTGGCCGTGATGACAGGGCTGCAGCTCAGCTGTCTGCAGAACCAGTTCACACAGACTGAGGGGGGAGGCTGCCCACTCCCTCTGGGTTGTATGTTTGTCCTGTTTGCTTGAGGGAATTATTCATTATTTGCTTCTGGCTTTGTTTTTTTTAATGGTTGTATAATTTCCTAGGTGCACACATAAGTATCTGAGAAACTTTTCTTTTCTCTGTGTCTTGGATCTGTGAAACTTCCACAAGCATAGAATTTCAATTAAAAAATTGCATTCATATTGCTTGATTCCTTTACACAGACTGACTTCAATAGAGCCAGATGCATTCAATTCAGGGTCCTTTCACGGTTGTTTTCACTCTGTTACAAAAACTATCCTCATAACTATTCCATTCTTACTTTGTCCACCTATATGACAAGGGTTTTAACATGTTAATTTGAAGAGTAAAATTACAGCCCTGCTGGTGCCACCTGCAGCTGATGCCAGTGGGATAGGATGTCATCCAGAGACACGGTGGAAAGCAGGAAAGCAGGAATGAAAGTGCATGGCCAGGGCCAGCACTCAATAGGTATTTTAAAACATCTCTTTGTCAACCACAAGTCAATATTTATCTGATCTGCCTACATACTTATGTCATTATAATACTTCCCAAGTATTAAAATAGAACTAACCATTTGCAGCCAGCTTCTCCCTAATTCCTCTTCAGGCACACACTTAGGCTAGTGGGAGTGTGCCCCAAAGAGCATTAATAAAAATTCAGGATGACTGAGGTTTTTTAAATCAAACTTGCTCTAAACTTAATAAAGAGGAAAAAAAAAAAAGAAGGGGGGGATTTCTACTTATTGTTAATTTTAATATGCCTTGTCCATGTCTTGGAATCAACGTGAGCAATTATAAGTGCTATGTGAGCTGATAATGGAAGTCTGTGACCCTTTCTTTTGCTGTGAAAAGTGAAAGAATTTGTGGGAGTTATGTTCCTAATATAGACTGATTTCTGCAATCAAAGAAACATTTCAGGTTCATAGAACCAGAGAATATGCTGAGTTGGAAGGGAACCCCAAGGATCATCAAGTTCAACTCCTGTCCCTGCACAGGACAGCCCCAAAATCACACCATGTGCCTGAGAGCACTGTCTAAACACCTCTTGAACTCTGTTATGCTTGGTGCTGTGACCGCTTCTCTGGGGATCCTGTTCCAGTACTCCACTATGCTCTGGATGAGCATTTTCTTATATCCAGCCTAAACCTTCCCTGGCACAGCCTCATGCCACTCCCTTGGGTCCTCTTGCTGGTCACCAGAGAGTAGAGATCAGTGTCTGTCCCTCCATTTCTGCTCATGACGATGTTGAAGACCACGAGGTCTCCCCCCAGCCTCCTCTTGTGCAGGCTGTACAGAGCAAGTGATCTCAGCTGCTCCTCACAGGGCTTCCCTACCAGACCCATCACCATCTTTGTCTCCTGTAGTTTTAGGACACAAAGAAAACTCACTAATGGCTTTTGGATATTTTCTTAGGAAGGTAATGATCAATCTAATCAAACTGCCTTTACCACCTCTCCTCAACTGATTTTTGAACAAACTGGCAAATTCAAACTACATTCATCATGGGAGCAGAGGTTTCCCCAGACTTGCAGTCCTGCAAGGAGAAATGGCAGTGGAATAACAGACAGAGACACAGCTTGAGCTTCCTGATGGTCCCACTCAGCACACACTTATTTCCAGGTGTGCTGCTGACAATTCTGCCTCTTGTCTGTCCAGTACCAAACAGATATAGGCACAGGTGCAGGATACAGCAGGTTATGGGGGACCAGGAAGAGGGAAACAGATACTTCCAGGATGAAACAGAGGATTGTAGGAAGGATGGCAGCACATCACGGGGAGGTGTTTGGACCAGAGAGAAGATGGAGGGTTTGAGGAGAGAGCCAAGGGCAGAAGACTGACTATTGCAGAGGAAAATGCCTAGTAATGTGAAAATGTAAAAATCTATAGAAACCTTGTTTCATCATTTCTACTGCTCTCAGAACAACTTGTTTACACTTGCTCAAAGCAAGAGTATGAATCATCCCTCTTCTATTCCCTATGTGGAACAATGTTCTAATCTCCTTTTCCTGAGACCTATGTCCTATTACTTCTGATGGGCAAAAAAAGATACTCAGGATTTGTCTCCTTGAAAGATTTGCTTTAGAAAACAACCCCAAAACATGACAACTAAGAAAAAAATCAAGAACTGTCCCACACTTCATGTGGCCCATAGAAATTTCCTGACATTCAGAAAGGCAGCTTTCTTTGAAATTAGTGGAATCAATGTCACTCCAAAAGAGCAGACAAGCAGCATTCTGAGAGTGTTTAAAACAAGCTATTTGCAAACTGTTCAGTTCCAAAAAAAAAAAAAGTTTTTAAGGCTTTATCTAGTGAAACTGCCTCATCCAGGGCCAGAATATCTCACTAATAGCTGGTCAGCATTCAGCTACATTTTCACAAGGGAAGAAAATCACCCCTGGGCTGAGGATAAGCGTGAAAGATGAGAATATAAAGGATAACTTTTGAGAAAGCTGAAAATAGTGCCTTGTGCTGAAGGCATTTCCTTTAACAACAACGGGTGTCACTGTCATGACGGTGGATAATTTTGCCTCCAGCATCAACACAGCTAAGAGCGAAGTACAAATTCCACGACTGGGGGTGGATGATGATGCTGGGAGAACACAGCACAGTTTTCAGATGTCAGCCTGAGTTTGCAATCCTGACAGGCCAGACAAGCCTTGTTTTGACTCATAAGCTGAGGGAATGGGCCTGGAGGAGCAAAATACAAGCACAACTTTTGCCATCGCTCTGCAGACAGCAACCACATTTCACCGAGGAAAATCATGCTTGGAGTGACTTCGGCTGAGAGCCCTTTGAGGCAACTATGGGTTATTAGTTATAAATACAAATGTCAGAACTGCAGTTTTCCCAGCAAAAAAAACCCCACTGAAATGACATGAACATGAACAAATTGAAGACTTTGATGAAACTGCTGTAGAGCAGGCAGAGAGCCACTGCGTGATGAGATATCTGAGCCACCAGGGGAGAGGCCTTGCTAGTGTCTTTAATAACTGGAAGGATGATGAAGCTTTGGCAGGGCAGAGCTGCAAACACCAGCAGGCTGTGACCTGGGACCACTGAGCTTGGCAGTAGGATGTGGGCTGTGCCAAAGGGAGGGGTGGGACTCAACTTACAGTTCCCTGAGAGTCCTCTGTCTGAAGATGCTTAATGCTAGACACAGAAATCCTTTGGCCCCATGGTGAAGACAGAAATCTCACCAACTCATTAAGTGCCACAGCACATTTTACTTAAAAAGGTTTGAAGAAATTTTCTTTTCAGCTTCATCCCATGTGTTTTCTTTATTCTCAGTCATTTTCTCAACATACTTAGAGTTGAACTCTTACTTTCATATTTGCCATTTTTTGGCAATTTGCTATTTTTTAGTGTTTATACTGGGAAAGAAATTATTGAAATTTGTATGCTTTAATAACTCAAGTTACGAGCACTCTTTTTATGAGTCTTTTGCTTCTTCATTATATTTAGTTGACAAGCTAT